CATCGATTCCTGCAGGCTGTCCGCGGCATGTCCAAGAGTGCACTCACCGCTGCGCCGAAACTCACAGCAAGTGCAACAATGCCTTCATCGAAGACAGCTTCTGCAAGGTTTGGCAGAAACTCGCCGAGACAACCATGAAAGAAGAGGGCAAACCTGACACTGACTGTGTCCATTGGTGGCTGAGCCTGTGCACCTCTGCTTATGCTTTCGACGGCCAGCTGAGTGCATGGCATTCCCTTGGCAACCGATGGGAAGTATGCATCTCCCGCAGCAGTGCCCCTGGGTTTGCCGCACCGTCAGCCCTGTTTGCCAGCATCTACGCGACTTCGACACATCCTTGCCTGAGGAGCTGCATAAAGACGAGCGCAAACACATAGACCAGTATGACCAGAAGAGAGACCGTGCAAATCACAGAGCGGGAGGCAACTCCCATGCCCTGGAAAAGGATCCTCGGAGGTCAGAGCAGGGTACCAGCTCTCCCGAGCAAACTCCTCCAGGAATGGCGCTGACGTCTCTTCTTGTTGAAGCTTGGTGTCATCATCTCCGGCACAGAGCGCAAGATCCGCGCGACTCGCGCAAGTCGGCTGATGCGGATGATGCGCAGAAGCCGCAAAGATGAGGAGTTCACAACCGAAACGTCCATGTCCTCAGATTCGCGTGGGCTGGTGTGGCACTGGCTCCTGTGAGGTTTTGCAGCCAGTCGGGTTGTACACGAAGGCTCTGATGAGGCCATGATGGCAAGAAGAACCCATGTGTCCAGAACCATCGCCAGCACCAGCGCAAGGTCAAAAACGAACCTTGAAAAAACAGCATGTCACAAGTCGAGGGCTGCCACAAACCACCCTGCTAAACCCAGAGAAGATGATCCCTGCAGGCCCAGGAAACCAGTAGTCTCGGAAGACGTTGCATTTCCTCCGAAAGGCGCCGAAGCGAATGACGATCTGACAGGACGCTTTGGCCAACAGGTGCTCAAAGACGTGGAGCAGACGGTAGTAAATGATTCACTCCCACTGTCATCTTGGCCATTCAGCGTATCATACCGTACCGCTGAATCTTATTGTCTGTCATCTCATGCTGCACCGGAAGATAATCCTATACTCGGCTGCCTAAATCAACATCTCTTCAGCACTAGACAGCATGCAGTATGCATGCTACGTTCTGCCATCGAATGCATATATGTTGAAAAGATTCTGGCATCTCCCCTTCAGCATCTATGTATGCATGTCCAGGTGTTTCGCGAGCTCATAATACCAAATTGCATACCTACGCACCTCCAGGAAGAAGTATGTGCAAAAGAGGTTCTCCATGACGATGAAGATTGGCTGAGAATTGATGAGGAGAAGCTGGTCATTGTAGGTGACGTCCACACCCAACCACACCGAATTGGCCTCAGTGCTGACTTTTTTGAGGCCTGGTGGAAACAGGTCCCGGGCCGGCGAAGATTCCGTTTGTTCCATCACAACCCACAGCCCCAGAGCCGAAAGCCCCCGTCTCTACACAGTAAAGAAATCAGCTGATCAAAAGCACACAGCTGAAAAGCCAGAGTGCCAAGAAGACACTACATCTCACCGAGGCCGGCAAAACGTGCATTCCGCATTCGCAAGGCACACCGGGAAGCCAAAAAGGCAAAGCCAAGCTCCAGTTTTTCCCACTTAAGTCGAACAACATACCATTCGGAGGCGCTTGATCTTCCACTCCCTGCTGAAAGCACCACCGAGATACTGCGATGACGGCCATGGTTGCGTTCTCGAAAGTCTGGCTGCGTGCAATGTACTGGCAAAGCCCGGTTTTGTAGTACGTGTCCTGCATGTCTCTTTCCCTTAGATCATCAAGCCTGTGTGCACTTCCTGCACTGCTACCTGCCCGGAAGCTATGGCACCAAGCCACCCTTGGAAGAAGAAGGCTTGCCAGTACCCGCGAAGCTTTTGCATCACGAGTCCAAGTCCAGTTTCCTCTTCTTGCACTCCTGACCGCAGCTCGCGTACTACAGCACCCGATGCAGCAGTATCTGAGGGTAAGCAGAACGTGTTTTGCGGCTGTGGGTCGGTTTTTTGACGCGCGGATGTAGTAAGCAGTTTCCGGGGGCTCCTCTTCTTCCGCCCTCGGATCGTGCAAATCACGCCAGACAGCGGACAAAGAAGGAGAATGCTTTCCGAGGTGCGGCTCGTCTTCAGGCTTCTCGATTTCGATTTCGTCATCGTCTAGCTCCGGCATTATCGGCGGACCCGGGCCATAGGCACCTCAGGCTCCAAGAAGCCCTGTTTTCCAGGAATCTCTGGCTTGGAAGGCTTCGGAGATAGTGCGAGCCTCGTGTGGTTATCGCTCCAGGAAGCTCCATGTTCGGTAAATCCTGAACATTCACGAGGCCTCACCACAGGCAAGTCACGCAGCTGCGGAGATCGCCGAAAACTATCTGCGTGGTAGAATACACTGCGCACACACACAGACATTGCGAAGACCTGCGCCTCCCAAACCTCTTTTGCTCACGCTGGCCTGTGAGGTTCCGCTTGAGGGAAGCGCGATTTTGCGATGCCCACGTGTCCAGTCTCATTTGTGCCTTCTCCAACCTGCATTGAACACCCGAGAGTCTGTTTCACTTAGCCGAGCGTCAGTTTACCCAGCCTCGCCAGTGGGTCTCGAAAGTCCGCCGGAGGTGCCTTGCGTAGTCACCCAGGCCACACTTAACTTGCAGAGCTTCCCTAAGAGCGCAATGCACCCGAGCCATGCGAGAGAGTGCATTTTCAACGGCCCCCTCGCCGGCACAGCTGCAGATCACTAAAGTCGCCATTGCCATGCTCAGGCAGACAGCCAAAAAACAGGCGGTCGTGGCCGCAAGAGTGGAGCTGTTCTGTACAGAGCGACACCTGAATTTGAAGGGCTGGGCCTTCTTGCTCGGGAACCACATCGCCTAGGCCTTCCTCGATCGGCTTGCGGCTGATCCGCAGCACCAGGTCGCTGCTTCTGCATCCAGCCTCGCGTCAACTCGAGGACCTTCGTGGGCATCCTAGGGATTGCAAAAAAGGCCCACAAGTCCTCCAGCTGGTAGTCGTCCTCGTCGGCGATGTGCCGCATGTGTAACTTCGTTGCGCTGTGGTTGAAGACTGCCAAATCATGTCAACTCCTCAACGGCAGCTGACCGCAGCTTTCGAGCCGAAAGGCGAGGAGTCAGGTCAAGCCTTTGCCGCAGTTCTATCAAACATCTGCGGTAAGAGCACGAAGGTGACCTTGTGACCTTGAGTCTTGAAAAATTGAACGAGGATGCATCACCTGCTGCATCCAAGGGGCGTAAGCAGCGTATGCTAGTGGCTCAGGCTTGCCGGGGCCCTGCGGGCTACCCGGTCGCATAAGCATCGATGTGTCGGCCTGACGAGTGTTGAATCAACCCCACATACCTCAACTGCTCAAGCACAACCATCGCAAGGCCTGCGAATATGCATAAGACACTCCGACGGTCTTGAGGGCTGCCAACTGCTCTCGCAGCTCGTAGTTCTCCTCTTCGATGGCTCTCGCTGACTTATCACCTCAGCCCGAAAGGCCACTCTTTAGCTTGGTGCCAGAACACTGTGACATGCTGGGTATGTTTGACCGAGGATACCGCGTTCCAAGTACTTGTCCTGATCGGCATTCTGCATAGGCACCGGTACAGTCAACGTTCACTCGTTCACCCACCCAATCACTCACCCACTCCCTCACTCATCTCTGCAGGGCTTTCTTCCAATTGTTCTGGGGTGGGCAGAAAAAATCGCTGCAGGGACTGCCTGACTGGCTGCACGTCCACTCCATCACTGGCTCGCATAGATGCGCAGGGACATGCTTTGTGCTATGCAGCCCGAGATGAGTCCTTGTACAGCTTGACCTGCGACACCAAAATCTTCATCTGTTTTGCCTCTTTCTCTTTGGCACTGGAAGGCTTCATAGCATCCATCTGCATTTTGAGGCGGTCAATCTCCTTTCAGACATCTGGTTGCATTGTACCGTCTCTCAGTCTGGCACAACTCTTGCAAGCAATCCTCCTGATACCGACGAGCCATGCTATCTCGGTGTGCAAGCAATCGAATCGCAGTGGAGTAGTGAAGCTGCAGCCTGACGCATGGCACCAGGGCTTGTCACTCGCAGCCAGCACTCTGCATTAGATGGATATAGCAGGATCACCAGCCCGGACTTGCACAGCTGAGCCGCTGCATGTAAACCTCCTCCATTTGATTGCCAAGCAAGCTCTCGACAGATTCGAAATCTCCTAAGCGCAAGTCCGCAGCATCTGCAGCAGCCACTATGCAGCGTGGGCATCCGGTAGCCGCGCTCGTGGCTCATGGCTACTTCGAGAACGAGCTGCCGATTTGTTCCTCCTCCTCCGGCACGTTTATCTCCTCCAACTGCTGCTGGAGCTTTCCTAGGCGGTCTCTCACCAGGTCTGTCGCAGGATGCTGGACCGGAAGATTGAAGGCAGACAGTCTGGCAGACCAGGTCTCTGTTCATGAGGGTCTTGGCCTCGGGACCAAGTCTGCTCAAGGTCTCAAAGCAGTCAATCGCAGAAAGCCGAGCAGCATCTACCTCTTTGGGGACACTCCTGCAGCAGTTCTAGAAATGAGAAGCAGGCAGCAAGAGGGCCCAATTCTTGTTGTTAACTTGCACACAAAACGCAAGGAATGTGCATTCCGCTGGCCTCTTGTTGCTCCTCATGACTGGATACGGGATGATTGGCAGCTTGCGGGAGTTCAATAAACCGTCTTGGGTTGTGCTATGCCCAGGAGTCTTGCGAAGAGTTGAATTCCTAGCCCTGCAGTTGCAGATCAACTCCTGACGGGGCAGGTCAGACAAAGTGTCACTGCGTGTCGCATGTGGGCTTGGTATGCAATGAATGCTGAAACCTCTTATTTTTGCTGTGTTCTTAAGCTGCAACGGCAAAGGTCAGGTTTGCATGCAGAGCTCAGGGCGAGGCCCATGTCCACACGCAGGCTGGAACACAGATCACAGTGTGCAAACAAGCAGCATGCAGCCACCTGCAAGTGACAGCACATTATGCCGTCCCTTACCAGGTGTGATGAGCCTGGAATGAACTAGGTCAAGCTTTTCCTGTCAGTGGTCAGGAATTGCACTCAGGCCACCACACATCACCAGGGTGTGTTGCCCGGATCGCAGCTGCATGGAGCCGAGTTTGGTGGAAAGGCTTTTTCTCTTTGGCTGGCAGCGCCCCTGTTCTAGCCTCGGCTTTGCCATGCCCCTCGAGCATGCAAGATACGCTTTTGGGGCCAGACTTGGAAACGTCCACTTCGTTTCCAACCAAAACAAGTTCCACCTCGATGTCCTCGCAGCCCAGTATGTCGCTACGTCCCACAAAGCTAGCTCAATGTATCTGAATGTAACATACGCAAAAGCCTAGTTAAACGCACCATGTCCTGCCGGTCCACTGCCGCTGGCGCCTGTTCGCCCCGGGAGATCTTGCAAGTTACTCGAGAAATGTTGCTGACCATGGCTATGGCAGCCGGGCGCCGCACATCCCAATCCAGTTTCACAGACTCGCTCCAGTACACCACGCAACCAGGTCCTCGGAATCGGCATCTTTGGCTCATGAATCCCTGCACAGAGGCTGCGAATCCCTCAGCGGATTCGCAGACTTCCATCACAACCTTCGGATTCGCTACAGGTACATCTGCACGTTGCAGCGAGGAAAGGCATCACCAGAAAGTGCCCCGAGAGCTGGGGGACGTTTACAGCCATTGCAAGACGGATCCCGACAGAAAGGAGACTTGTTGGGGGGCGCGCCAATTTGCCTGCTGAAAGGGAAGTGCTCGGTCTTTGCATGTCTTTACCGCTTCGTGCTTTGACAGCCCAGCGTGCCACTGGACAGGGCGCACAAGTCCATCCACAGGCACGTTCCTTCCCTGAGCAGCAGACGGATCCGATCAAAGATCCCAGGAAATCCTTCGTTGCTGGCTGGAGGAGGACCTCAGCAAAGACTGAAATATTCGCGTACTGTGAGAGAATGGTCAGCCATGCATCATACCTCGGGTTCAGACGTGCCGTCGAAGGCAAACATGGGTTACCTGCCGTTTCTTCAGTACAAGATAGCCGGTCAGACAGGAATCGCAGCAATCACATGCGAAGGTCGCTGATTTCAAACTGGGCTGAAAGGAAAGCCTCAATATCACCACTGTCTCTAGCAATTGCCCGGGGAATCAACAAGGCCGAAAGTCTGTGGCTGGAACAACCGGAGTTCGCCCGTCCAGCAGCACAATCTCGTCAGCTAGTTCCTGGCACTGGCACACTGGCAGACGAAAACTTGTACGGAGCTGGCGTTGCAACGACGTGTTTCAACCCAAGGTCTGAGAACTTCCTCGATCGCAGTGAGACTATCTTGAACTACTGAGGCTATCGGTGACTAGCGGCCATTGCCAGCTATGATATGGAGGTGCAAGACAGTTACGATAAAGAGACAGCGGTAGTCTCTGAGCACCTGCTGGGCCGATCTGCGATGGCTGAAGATATCCAGCCTTGAGAAAAGCAGACCAAATGTGGTCATGATGTACACAGAAGACAGAAAGCACAAGGCTTTTTGCGCACATGGATCGTAAGCCGTAAGCACCAAGCAAATGCGACCAATTATGCCGCCACTTCGCAGCTGTGGTTTCAGTTCCATCCTCCGCTGCGAAGAACCAGGAAACTAAAGATGTGCACCAGTTCTTTCACACATCCAAAGTGCGCTTTTATAGGTGCACGAACATCCTTTTTTGCTGCTGCAGTCACAGCTGCGCCGCCTAGTCCTGGACATTCCATGGCTCGAGTCTTCCGAGAGAAGAAGGGCCCTAGCTGCCTCACACGGAATTGAAGGGACTGCCGCTGCAGCCCTGCATGGCATGGCCATAGGATTCTCTCAGCCGCTGCACAGCTTCCAAGATCGTTGTCTCATCCGGCTTCTCGAAGCTAGCGGCCTTCATCCGGAACTTGAGGAAGTAGAGTCCCTTGACGGCTGCTTGGGCCTGGCGCACCGTTTGCAGCGCCAGGGCGGACTGACAGCCCTCCATCCGCCTGAAGGTACCGAAGGCATCGCCATCGACCACAATGGACACCAGCTCGCCCAAGAGGTTTGAAGCCTCTCGCCAGGTGGCCCGGAGCTCCTGATGGCTCTCCTTGAGAGTCGCCATGGCGTTCGTGTAGCTCACAATGAGGTCGGAGAAGCTCACAGTACAGGCCTCGAAGTTCTGCATGTCAGTGAAGGCGGCTTGGAAAGCCATCAGCTCGTCGTGAGCAACATCCTCGTACTGGTCCATCCTGCTGCGCAAGCGCCACCAGACCTGGTCTAGGGAGATAAGCATGGAATGCCGCTCGAAGCCCGCAATTTGGGTCGCAAACTCACCTTGCTTGCTGACGGTCTCCGAGCGACTCTGGGAGCGATAAACGCCCAGGATGTGGAGCTGTCCTTGGACTTGCCCTTGAAGGCGGCTGACGTCGCCTGCCAGCTGTCGCAAAATGATGTTGGACTTCTTCTCATTGCCGCTGGCTGCCCGATGGAGAGTCGCATGCAAGTCGTGCAACCGCTGAAGGAAGGCTGTTGCTTCTGAGGCATTCGGAGCGTCAGGAAGGTCGGCGCTCTGCACGAACTGCAGCAAGGCATCCTGCGCAGTTTAACATTCGGAAACTATAGCATTCAAACCTTAACGAAGGAGCTACTCTCTTCTGGTGGAGACCTGGCTCTCTAGCTTTCTTCTCAATGTTGAGAGACTACGGATCTAGCCAGCAGATAAGCTGACAAGCTGCGTTATTTCGCATTGAAAGATATATGGCTGTTTCTCTTCGCATTACGCAAACGAACCTTTACGTGCTTCAGTTACCAACGGTACCAATGCTTCCTTCATCGAACAAAATCAGAACTGTAGTAAAGTTCAGCTTTACCACTAAAAGACATAGAAGAACAGCTACACGATGTACCGTTGAAACCTGTCTGTGCTCGTGGATGCTCTAGAACGTCTTATGCAAACGCAGATGTGTGTTGAACCTTCAATCAATTTGGAATATCTCTCAATCTGCAATGGGTTCTCTTAGCCAAGCCTTGGTCCCGAAGTTGGCTTGCGAGTTTCGAGTGCTCCACGGGCTTTGAAGTTTCAAATCGCAGATCTGGCAGCAACAACAACAACAACAGTAGGCCCGAATTGTGCCTGGCAGCGGTCAAGTCCCTTGTGACAACACGTTGCTATCGGGTTTTAACGATTTGTCTTTCCGAATTGGCGCGGGTGTCAACTTCCAGGCCTTTTGCTTCCGAGGGTAAACGGCTCTTCTTGGAACAGAACCTTCGACCCGATTTCAAACTTTCTGCTCTCAAATTTCAGCGTGGTTGAAGTTTGTATGGCGTCTCCGGTGCTTGTAAGCAGCTTGTAAGCGAACGGTTGGCCGGAATCCTGCGCAGTGCTGCGAGACGCTGCCTTGCCATAGCGTGCCCCAGCAGTCTCAGCCAAGCTCTTGATCTCCAGCATCATGGCGTCCGCCGAGCGCTGCAGCAGCGCGTTATCCGCGCCGAGGTGTGAAAGTATCTTCTTGAAATAAATGGTGTTCAACTCATCCGAGTAATCCTGCTTGCTTGCGATGTACTCGTTGAGGAGCTTGGTGGAGTCGAACGACCACTTTGCCATGTTCTTGATGTTGGTATTTGTCTTCCGTGTGGCGGTCTCCAAGTTCCGGATGATGGAGCGATCCCCGCGAACGACGGCATCGCGGGTGCAGTGCAGGTCGCAGAACATTCGCGCAAAGCCGATCTGCATGGGGTTGCAAGCATCGTAGCCTTCTTGCCCGAGCTGCATGTCGAATGAGGCATCATGCATATCGTAACCGAAGTCAAGGATGTCATTCGTCAGGTCCAAGGTGCCCTGACACAGGTCACCGGACGTGACCTGGACGCCAGCACCGAAGGGTGCAATTTCGACGTCCGGCAATGCATCGCAAACCATTTCAGCCGCCGCCGTACCAATTGTCCGTGCCCACTCCCTGTGAACTCCTGAATACTCTTTCTCCGCCGCAAGCAGATCTCTCTCGGCATCTCCCGCAAAACACTTGTCCACATCATCATACAGCATGTTCGGGGGGGTGCCTGATCCATCTCCTTTCCCGAGCGGTCCGAAGATTCCATTCACGTTCTTTGCCACCTCGCATGGGTGGTAATCTTGCATCGGCTTGTCTGCCGTGCCGGGGTCTGCCTCCAGCGCCGCGTCCTCTGTGACTTGCTCATCTTCCGCGTTCTTGTAGGTCTCCGTGATCTTGTTCCAAAGATCCTTGTAGTTCAGACACTCCTCGGAGTAGGTGGGCATAGTCGCTTCGAACTCCTCGAGCTCTGGCATCTTCGGCAGCTTCGGCTTCTCCGGCTTCTTCAGCATACCGAGGAGCGCTTTCAAATTGCTCTTCTTCTTTGCCTGCTGCTTCGGGACACCCAAACCTTCGAAGACCCCGTCGAAGTTGCTGATGTTGACAACTTCGAAGGGCATACCACCCAGGCGCAACGGCGTCGCGGCGTCATCGACCTCGCTGCACTTGTCGTCGATGCACCACTTACCCTTGTCAGTGTCAAACTGCAGGAGCTTGCCGTCAGCGCTCTTGTAGACAGGCCGGCCCGACACGTCGAGGGACTGCGGGCAATACTTGCCATCGTCACCTGCTGGCTTGCGGTAGCCGGCTGGCTCGATGACAGTGGGGGAGCCGCCTGCCTTGCAGCAGAAGTAGCGCACCCGAGCCCACCTGCCACCCTCAGAGAACTCGAAGTGGAACGACGAGATGACAGAGTTCTCGCCGCAGGAGACGACGAGCTTGCTCAGCGTCTTCTCCCAGCTGCCACGGTCTCCTTTAAAGTAGGGCACCTCCGCCTGGCCGCTGAAGTACTCGAAGCAAGCACCCAGTCCGCCGATGTAGCTGCACTCGTACTGGTAGCTCTTCTTAACCACGTCCAGCTTGACTCCGGTCAAGGCCTGGCCAGTCTCGCACTTGACTGGGTTCTCGGCCAGGATGTGCCACCAGTCATCCCAAACGTCACTGTTCTTGTCGCGGCTAATCATGGTGTCTGTCGACTTGCCGAACTGGATGAGTGGGGAGAAAATGCAGCTTGTCCTCGCGTTGCTCGAACTGCCCCCGAAAAGCTGCCAGAAGTCCAGATTGTTCAATGCACCGTGGGCACCGCAGAGCGACGTGTAGGCACCATGGAGATCCGTCGTCCTCTGCTGATCCTCCATAACATGAAGGCTGAACATCTTCAGCGGCACTTCAAAGGGATCGATCTGCTGCGCGACCTTGGTGTTGTTGCAGTCCTCAAGCATAAAAACCTTTGTCGGGTCGGCCTGAAGGCACTGAGGCTTCGACTGGCTGTCAGCCGAGCCATCCGCGAAGTACTGAAACATGCGTTCGTGCGAGTCTGAGGAAGGGATGATCTCCGCAAAGAAGGCGGTGTTGCAGTTATCCTTCGGGTGAATGGTCATGGCATTGCTTTCGGCGTCCTTCTCCAAGCAATACGTTGAAGGCGGCCCGGCCAAGTCCTTCATGCCCAGCTCGGAAGTGATGTGCAACTGCATCCGATTGAAGAAGTACAGCTCCTGCTTGTCACGGTCGTCGAGATCCATGTATCCTTTCCCGGCCACTTGCAGGCATTCCTCGCACTCGAAGCTCTTCCCGGGACCATCCCACTTGCCGTCCACGCACTGCAAGGACTGCCCAAGAGAAGCCCTGGCTGTGGCCTTGTTCATGCCGGAATACCTCTCTGACCAGCAAGAGAGGAAGAGTTTGTGGCCGTGCTGGAAAGTGTCCGGAAGCTTGCGCTTGTGCGACCACGCGTGCGAGAGTGGCCAGCGAAAGGTGGGGTGTGAGCAACTGTGCACCCCCATACCGCCCAGGAGGAGCTGCGCATCGCACTGCTCGTAAAGGTGGAGGTTGGGGAAGCCTGTCACCACGTAGGACGACGTCGCCAACTCGGAAAGTTCGAGCATGGAGACAACCCGGTTGTCCCCGTAGATCCTTGCGATGGAGACGTGGCTCAAATGGACGTGACCATGGCATTTGCGGACCAGCTCAAACTGGATCTTGCCACGCGGGGAAGCATAGATGACTCCAGATGCGGATGTCTGGCGTGAGATATCCTGGCGCATGTGGGCGTAGGCGCCGTGGTTCACGGCAATGAGGTTTTCATGGCAGTTCCACGCTTCCTTGGCAGTAAAAGAGTGCACCTCGAAGCGATACAAGGCGTTAGGCACGAGATTCAGCACGACGGCAGTGGCGCTTCCGGGCATGTTTCGCACGTAGCCGCGGGCCTCCTTGCGCATATCCGTCCAGCCGGTGAGCTCGAGCTTGTAGCCGTTTGCGATGTCTCTGGTGACCGTGCTTTCCATCCCGACCCACTTGTATTCCACTGTGTAGGGCTTCGAGTCAGTCTCCATCGTTTCGGACACCTGGAAGGTGCCTGCCTGAAGCTTCCACTTCAGGTACCGGATGGCCGTCTCTATCTCGGATCGCGAGAGCGCCCGATCCCAGGTAATCACCTCCATAACGGCGAAGTCCGACGCCGAATCCTCTCCAGACTGGTAGCCAGCATTGATCATGACGCTGTCCGGCAAATTTTCATGTCGGTCTTTGCTCTTGGCGAAGTTGTAGTTGCCGAAGTTCCTCAGACCGCTGTAGATCAGCTTCGCCTTGTTGGTGCCACACATTACCATCCAGTTCATGTCGTACCGATAATGATACGGCCATGTTACCCAATCGCCATATTTGGCAATTCCCACGTGGCCCTTCCAGTGACCTTGTAGAAGGTCGTGATCCATGCCTTGTAAGATGCGCCCAAACTTTCCGGCCGTGTTTCTACCTGTGTACCTTGACACCGAGCACATTGTGAAGGAGCTCTTCAAGATGGCGCCGAAAGAGAAAGCATCATCATGAAAGCCTTGGATGTAGGTCACAGGCCGATCTGCCCCGAAGCCGGCAGCCGAAGCGCGCCAAACACTGTTCTTGGTCGATACGCCCACGAAGTCACCCACGCTGCTCTTCCACACGCTGCCTGCGTCCTCACTGCGGAACCACGAGACCATGCCCTTGTTTGGGGGGTCGAGGGGCTTCGCCGGCGGCGTGGCACTGGCGTGAAGGATCTTGGCTACTGAAATGGAGCTGAAGTGCAGGTGATCGCACCTCCGCTCCATCTTGAACTCAATCTCCCCGGCATCCGTGGCGACCGCAACGCCCGAGGCGGCAGGGCGAAGGGACCAATGTTGTCGCATGCGCGACCACACGTTGCCGCCGTTGATGTAGACTCTGTTCCAGTTGCATAGATGATCACCGGTGTCCCAGGAGAAGATCTCATATACGTACCGTGCCTTGGGCTCCAGGCCAGACACGACGGCGTAGGCAAATCCCGGTGAGCTCCTGACGAAGCCCCTTGCGTAGCTTCTCATCTGCTCCCAGCCCCTCGTCGTGAGGGTGTAGCCGTTAATCATCTTGTTCTTGTACGTGAAGGTCTTGTCAGCGTCGATGTGGTCTTGGTTAGACGAATAGATCCAAAAATCCCTCATGGCGTCGCCCAGGGTCTCCGTCGGCTCAAAGGTTCCCGCCTTGAGCTTCCAGTCCAAGTAGTTCGTCACCTGCTTCATCTCAGTCGCCGACAATGCGCGGTTCCAGGTAATCACCTCCATGACTCCAAAGTCGGAGGAGTCATTGGGATACTTGCCCGTGTTGATGACCAATGTCTCTTTCAGGTCTTCCACAGGGAGCCGGCTTGACCACGCCACATTGCGGCTTCCATCAAAGATCAGCTTCGCTTTATTGGTGCCACAGAAGACCAGCCAGTTCAGGTCATGTGTTTTCTGATGGTTATGGGCAACCCACGTCTTGCCATAGTACGCGACGCCCACTCGCCCATTGTAATGGCCATGCAACACATCGTGGTTCACTCCCTGGAGAATTTGTTTCTGCTTATCGGGGTCAGGGTCCGTGTACCTCGTCACAGAACACAGGGTGAAGGTGTCTGGCAGGACCTGCCCAAAATAGAACTGATCGGCATTGCTGCCCTCGAGGTAGGTCACGGGCCGGTCAGCGCCAAAACCTGCAGCACTTCTTCGAACTGGACCCCCCTTGAATGCAAGCCCAACGAAGTTGCCGACGCTGCTTCTCCAGAGGACGCCCGCATCCTCGGACTTGAACCATGAGACCATCCCTACACTCGGCGGGTCGGCCGGCTTCCGAGGCACTGGCGCCACTTCCACCTTGCCTGCGCTCGCCTTCTGCATCCCCGGGGGCCTCACCATATACGCCCGGCGCAGCGAAGTTTGCCAGCAAAGTGCTGCGTCTGCAACCTGGCAGTGCTTTTCGCGTGGCATCGCCGACAGCGTGCCATCGAGCCCGAACTCCCTGACCAGCGAGTCGCAGGCCGTGAAAGTCCGGCAAACGCTTGCGGAATGCTGCGTTCCATGCCAGAAGAAGTTGCACTTCTCATCCTCGCGGCATTTGGACTCGCAGTTGGCCTGTTCCATAATTTCCGATTCCGTGTCCCAGTGCTGACCCAACAGCTGCCTTGAAGGGCATGCAAACTGCCCTGCCACGATCGAGTACGGCGCTGGGATGTATAGGTTGCCACTTCCGGCCGGGATCGCCTCAAACGCCTCTTCATTCACTGGGGTTGTCTTGCCCCAGAGCGCAGGCGCGCAGTCGCAGGGATGCAGCCAAAAGTCCTCCGGAAGCGGGGTGGATGGATCATCAATCACCATCTTCGGAACGACCTCGTCCGTGTCCAGCCGCGCTGGAATGGAGCACTGCCGGACCTCGAACTGCACGGTTGTGGAGTTCCTGGCGATGCACTTGACCACCTCACCTTTCAGCTCGAAGTGGCCCGCCTTTGCATGAATGTAGTCAGCTGCCGCAGGGCGACGGATGATCCAGTCCTGGGCCTTGCAGTCGCCAGACACAGCGAGGCCGGCATGCTGGACCGGGTCCAACTGCTCCAACAAGAACTCGTCCTGTGAGGTTTTGGCCCTCTTCCGGTAGACCACCTTGCCATCGGTGCCGGTGCCAAGCGGACAGTACACGCCTGAATTCCTCCAATGCTCCGTGTCCTCCACTGTGAGGCATGTCCGCGCTGCTGCGCAGTCGGTGACTTTGGCTAGCGTACTGTGTTGCTGCTGGTTGGGCAGCAATTCATATCGGTAGCAGGTTTGGTCCTGCCAGGAAAAATGCGAGCAGCTGGGGTCCACCCGGCAGTGGTTGCGGCACTCTGCTTCCGATTCGCGGGCGACTCTGTCGGCCTTGCCCGTGATCTTCTGAGGCACCCAACAAACGTTGTCCTGGATGTCCACTGCCACTTTTGCTTGGACCTGTGGCATCTCCGGATCGGCGAAGGCACCCCAAACGGTGCAAGAAACTTTGAGCGACTGCCGGAATGCTCCACCACCAGGCTGGAACTCGCTGGCCATCTTGGCAGCATCGAAAATCTTGGCGACCCCTTCAGGAGCTCCAATGAGAAGTTCACCGCTTTCCGACACCTGGATCAGCGGCACTCCATCGACCAGGAGCACACGTATGACCTGGTCGTAGACCACGCTCACCCAGTCCACGGAGCTGCTGCAGGCCAGGCGGAAAATCTGAGGCCGCATGCTGCCAGCTTGAGGCGCGATAGGCCTGAGTAAAGGCAGCTCATCTCCAACGGTCACGGCCACTTCATCGGCCGGATAGCTGAAGGAATTCCAGGGCCTCGGCCAAATGGCCACAAAGCTGGTTCGACTTTCCTCCTCTTGGGTGCGGCCCGTGGCTTTCAAGCGGCCAAGCACCACGCAAACGGCCCCGTTCTGACCCGTGAAAGCCTTGCCCTCCTCAACGACGCCTCCGTGAGCTTGCTGGGATGCATCCAGGGACAGGACGGCAGTGTCTGGGTCGAGCTTCAGCCACGGCGCAGCCGGAGCACACGACATCTTCAAGTCTCTGGTCTGTCCTGCCGCCTTGAGGTTGTAGGACGTCTTAGATCCGCCCAGATTGAGCACATGCGACTCGAAGGACATCCAGGACTGAGCCACTGCAGCGGGCGCCGTAAAGACCACTCCGTCTGCCTGGTGCGCAGTGACCTCACATTGCACTTTGAAGGGGCCACTCGGTTTCTTCAGCCCCACGCTGTACGAGATCACTCCGGTTTGTCCATCCAAGGTGAGGTTGTAGGCCGGGAACTCGCAGTCGGAGTTCAGGGTGTAGCGTTTGGCAGTGCGCGGGACTGGACCCAAGGTCACTGCGTCGCCCACCACGAAGGACTTGTCAGGATATGAGAAAGCCGTCGGTGACACGTGGCCTCCGCCGCAGCGGCAGCAGGCCTGATTGGAGCTCTGGCCTCTGACCTTCATGTTGTCGCAGGTCTGTGACAGAGCGCAATTGTTGCCCTCCTGGTCCGTCCAGTCCATTGAGTCGGTGCAGGCAAAACAGCTGTCGCCGCGCTTCACGAAGCCCGGAGCACATTTTGCACATTTGTCAGACTGGAACATAGAGCAGCCGGCACAGTCCAGCTTCCCTGGTGGGCAGCAAGTGGTATCAATCTTGTCCACCTGATAGTTGAAGATGGGTAGCTCGTCGTCACCACATTTGGTACCATGTTGGGAGACATTGTACCGGTCTCGCTGTGCCAACAAATATTTCTGCACGTCCCGCTTCAACAAAGGCACCTTCGCGCTGCACTTCGGGGCGAGACGGCCATCCGTGCTGGTCAAATTGACCGAGATTGTCTTCGGCAAGTGTGCCAATCTCTGACCAGTCGGCTGTGTGACGTCTGTCACTGCCGTTGACGGTGGTGCTTTATGCAGCTCTGCCACAATCTCGGATTTCATGCTCATCACCGCCTCGCGCAAAGCGGTCAAGTCAGACGCCTGGATGACGTCTGCTTGCGTGCCTGCCTTGCGGTGGGAGTCCATCTTGTACGCCAGGCACAGGCATCCCCAGAGGCGCAACCAGCACCAGACTAAACATTGCTTCATTGTCAAAGGCTCGAAAGCAATAGGGACATAGCTGTTCAAGTCTAAGTCGACTTGAGCCTGTGGGAATGAAACGAATCAGCTGGAGGTATAAGTCGGGGGCCATACTCTTCACTGGTCCTCCGATGTCACGGAAACTTCAATAGTGAGCTGATCGCCCACATCTTGGCCTGGAGCAGTGAGGACTCACACTGACCACAGCGCATGGCGGCCCGGCGACCCGGCCGACATCGAGCTGAAGCTCTTTGCTGAATGCATCCAGCACGATGCACCTCACAGTCTCCACTTAGGTAAGTGTGTGTGTGTGTACCACTCGGCGACCAGTTAGTTCAGACTTGCTCACCGCAGCGACGGCTGTTCCCAGAATAGCATCCCACATCCCCGCCCTACTCGTCCCAACAACCGCCTAACCTAACCCTCACTGCCAACCCAAGCCCTTGTCGCAACAGCAGAAGCCTCCCCAAACAAAGACTGCACCTGTGTTGTTAATTAATCAATGTTGACTGGGAGATGTGTCGTGAACTGCAGGAAATTAGTCGAAGATGCGATGGTTCCGTCCACTCTAATGCTTCTCAAATACTTCCTGTACTTTAGACTTTGGCCGAAGGAAACGCCACAGGCCGAGCAGCGCAAGCCGGGTTGAAACCGAGGCAGGAGCCCTTGCTTTGGATCGATCCGGTTGGAGCCCGGGAACACCTGCAATCCGCGCAGCTCAGCCGGGCCATTCACCGCAGCCCAGCTCTGCAGCGCACCTTGGAGAGCGGCTCCACAAGTCGCTTCTCACTACGTTCGTCCTGCGACGGAAGCTTCACGTGGTCGGTTGCCTCCAGCACTGGTTGGGTCGTTCGAGTCATATGGCAGGCAATGCAGGCAATACAGGCAATGCAGCAGGCACCAGACCAGAACGCCTTGAAGTTGCCTCCCGCCGAGAAGCAGACCTGAACCTGACTCTAGGCAGGCAGCCGGGGAGAACATGGCCGAACGTGAGGATTACCCAGATCCGGCCTGTTGAACCGGTGCCTCTGTCCCAGCGACCGATGGCGGAGCACCCGCCAAGCTCGGCGGACCCGGTGCAACCAGGGTCCTCCAAGGAAGACAGGAGTCGAAAATTGCCAGTTGTCGTTGCGAGAGCCGGACAGCCGAAGCTGCTTCAGCCTCGGCGGCCCAAAGCGGCAATGATTGCATACTGTTGCATTACATGCTCTGAGCCGCAGGGCACGATCCGCATGGTCGGGTCCTCTCCACTTCTGAGCCAACTCATGCTAGCCCGTGCGAGCATGCACGATGCCTCTGGGAGGATCGCGCAGTGTTTGTTCAGGAAGTGGCAAAAGGTGCTGGACCTCACAGCAATAGGAGTGAAACAAATGACCCGACCAAGACGTTGCAAGTGTGGATTACTGACGGAGCCTCGTCAGTGAAGTAAGGGCAAGTCTGTCTTCACTGACGATACTGACCAGACAGTACAACTAAGGGCCTTGTTGAAGGTTCTCCTTGCCACTGCGGTCGGTGGCGGTGTCAGCTGCAGATGGAACTGGTTCGTGTTCCTCCTTCTTGCACAGTGATCACCTGTGTTTATGGTGGTTTATGCCGTTGGCGCCGTATTCCTCCTAGACAGGGTATCCGGGATTTACTGTGAACTATTGTAAACTCATTCCGAAGGCACTCCATGCGGCATATATAATCCAGGTTAAGCCGCAAATTGTACAGCGAATGCGTGCCATGATGGAGCCCTTCACACAACCACCTTTCTGGCTTTGTTTTCGGTCGGGATGTCATGCCACTCCCCGTGCCGAAAATAAAATCAATGACTCCCGGAAGAGCTATCAGCCAATCTGGCAGTCTTCTCAGGTTGCTTGGGATGCGGACGGCAAGATGCGGCACCAGCCTTGCAAGATTGCAGTATGGAATTCCAACCTATACCGAGAAACCCAGCACTACTCAGTGAGGGCGGGCAAGATTCTCGAACGCGCGATCACCCGAGTCTCCCCTGTGCGGCCTTGCCACAGCAGCAGCGGAAGTTCCACGAATTTCCTGCCAAAGCTCTGGACAGACTTTGAAACAACAATCGGTTTGGAGACTCAGGGCCATGTGCCTAGGAGCATCGATCATTGTGGGCCGCGACCACGCAGATGTCTCAGCATCCGGCAGCCAGAAGTGCCAAGTCCACGAGGCTGGGGAGGGTCCGCAGGCCTCGATCACGGCTCCCGCCGCATCGAAGGCTATGACCTCCATGCTTCTTAATCGCGACCATAAGAACTACCTGAAACAACGCAGACGCTGACTGCAACCTACCTGAAATTGATATGGCCGACCAGCATGAAGGGGAGGCTGCTCCTGCGGATGTTGCTGCCTTTCCCAACTTCGGATTTTGCATCTTACCGGGGAGGTCCTGCTCGGCCTGCAGCTTTCCTGGCACTTATGAGAATATCCAACCTACTTGGGAAAACAAGTTTGAACTCTCGAAATTAGTCAGACTCCCGTCCTGGCCTATTGCCGCAAGCTCGACGTCATACTCTTTCCGATAGTATTGCCTCGGGCCGGCAATGGCAAACATACATCAATTTCTTTGGATGTCGCACATGTTGCCGAGAAAATTTTGCGACAAACCATGATCTCTGTAACTCTGTCTCTTGCTTGCTTGCTTGCTTGCTTGCTTGCTTGCTTGCTTGCTTGCTGTGTGGGTCTTCAAGGAGACCCTGGCCCGAGGGCCTGCCCCCACAAGGTTCGCGACTGCTACTCTTCGAGGCGCCTTCAAGGGTTGAGCGATGCCTCTGCCGTTGCATCCAGAGCGTCTAGCAGCGCCAAGCAACGCATCAGGCTCAGCCCCTCAAGCCCCTCATGAAACAGTGAGTCTGTGCCGACACATGCAAGGCAGATACCTCTGCCTTCACTTTCGCGGCCAACACACTAATCAAACAAGAAACCTTCACTACGCCTCACGAACGAGTTGAAAACATGTGCTGCATGCAGCCTCACAAGAACCGTCACCTTCCACCAACAAACGCACATGAAACGTCCGAGGCGTCAGATTGGTCACCACCGGTCAAAAAACACGCCAGAGATCGCAGCTTCCCAATGCAAAGCATACCGAAGACTTGGGTTCTACAAGACAAAGGCTTCTGGCCACATGTGTTTGTCTTGAACCCAGACCTGTACATACGTATACTCAAGGATATCAAAGGAGTTGGGCAACAGTCCGGACAGTGCTGAGTGCTTGGCTTTGCCCCGACGTCCTGCTGCACATCCACGACGAACAGGAAGCAGCGAATATCCGGAAACTCCTGCAAGTTGCCGAGAATGTGCACCAATCATGATCGCACTTCCGCTTTCAAAAACGAAGAGTCCTCCGGGCACGGCAACTTGTCCACAGGGATATGTCGCGTCCGCACGATTCCCTTGAAGCCCTTGCCAGCCCGTGCGACTCTCCCCCTCTGCTCAGCACGCCCACATGGAAGCCTCCAGCGAGGCAGCGTCCGGCCACAGCCTTGCCTGCTTCGCTGTTAGGTAATGGTTTCGTGCAGAAGCGTGTCTCTCAGGGGCTCGTTATTTCCCTGTGGAATTTTGCGAAGAGAGCGCAAAGACAGGGGCAAGATGCAAGAGTGCAAAGTGCAAGAAGCGAGAATGCAAGATGCAAGGGACGAGGGTGCAGTGCAAGGTGCGAGGGTGACATAGGTGCGAAAGGATGAGTACAAGAAGCGAAAGCTGCAAGAGTGCAATGTCCATGCAAGAGGTGCAGTGCAAGCTGCGAGGATGCAAGGTTCAAGATGCATAGGTGCAAAAGTGAATACAAGAAGCGAGTGGATGCAAGGTGCAAGGGTGCAAGATGCAAGGAGCGAAGGTGCAAGAAAGATGCAAAGTGCCCCCCGCTTTTCCTTGCCTGGCAGCAGACCGTCGAGAACCTGCAACGACATGCCATGAAATGAGCCACGAATCTTCTTTGAGTGCCAGGCCGCTTGGCTTTCGGCCGTTTGGCCCAGCGCAGTAGCACCTCAAACTTGCACACCCACGCACAGCTGTGAGGATCGAGATAGGACTGGGGGCCCAGGCTCCCCTCGTGGGCCAATGCACCATGCTTGGATGCAAAGCCCAGGTTTCGCTGTCTTTTGAACACTGCATCCTGCCAACTCTGATCCTCTCCTGCCCTGTCCTCTGCCTCTCACCCCCCCTCTGGCCTGTAGGACGCAGTCCTGAAGGTGGCGATCTTCCTGAGCTCCTCGCGTAGGCTGGGAATGACCTGCCCGCACTGCGGAACTCCCAAAACGCCAATACACCTGCTGGGACCGAGCCGAGGGCAAGGAACCCGAGGATCAGCAAAACCTCACTGCACGGGAGTCGAGTTTCGTGGACGCCAAAGCCCATCTACAGGCTGCTGCGCACAGTACATATGCAAAATGTGTCATAACTTGGCCCGTGTCTTGGAACGAAGGCGAAGCAGAACGATTTCGACTCACACACTCGCGCAAGGCAGGCATGGCTTCAGACACTAAGTCCGCTAAGCAGAACGATTTGCTTCCATGGCTCCCAGGACAGGCCGTGCTTTTCATACAGAACGAGCTCAGATCTGCATCCCTCGTCCCGAGGATTCCTAAGTCCAGAGGCAGCTGCCACCACGCCGGCCGCCAGGCCCATAGATAAGGTGATGCCCGAAGCAGCGAGGAAGATCCAGAAGTCCTGGGCCAGAGGTCAGGTCTGAATCGCCCTTATCAGCCGAACAGTCTTTCCCCACACTCCTTGACGGTCAGAAGCCGAGGCCTCACATCCAACATCAGATCAACGGCGATCAACCTTGTGGCCCCTTGGGCCCTGACCTCCAGAAGTAAGTAGACTTCGCCTGGGTTCGAGTGTTCCAATCCTCACAAGCTGGATTCCGCTGCATGAAGCCAAGGAGCATCGACCTTATCAAACACGAAAGCCTTGGAACCCTTGGGATCCCAAATCCACCTGCGCGCACAGCTGATGGCTTTTGCCAACAGGCTCGCAGCTGAACTGCAACACCTCGCAGAGGTGAGGTTCATGCCCACGATGTCCACCTAACACTCGGCGGTTGCGCGGCCGACTTTGCTGAGTTGCTGTACTACTTCGCACCTCCGGCGAGATGGCTTGCAGCTGCTGCTCTCCGAAGCGGAGCTGTGCATCCTCACGTCGACAGTCAGTCCCAAGCCGCACTTCCACAAGAAGAAAAAGCAGAGCCGCCAGCATCCAGATTCCCGATGGCAGAATTGGCAGAATCGCATGCATCCTGCCATTACAGCTCACCGTTTCTTCCGACTGAGCCTATGGCAGGATCGGCGTGCCTGGTGTACTCAGCGTAGGTTCACTCCCACACTCTCGACCCCCAGTCCTGCGGGAAGAGCCAGCGCATGCCGGAGACCGGTGCTACGATCCGTAGCACACGCGGCCGCCTCGGACATGAAAGAGAAAAGAGGGAGATCTGCCTGCTCGCCAAGTTCCGAGGGCCGCACAACATTCCGCCTGTTACAATCGAGGCTAGAGACAGCGACATCGCGTGGTACACTGTGGACCTCCGACAATACTGGCATTTGGCGCAGCAAGCTGGAGGAAACTGCAGCTGTCGTTTGGTGCGGCTGCGCCACGAGAGGAGTTTCAGCATGCCGGTAGGGGCATTCGGTGCCAAGAGGTGCACGTTCACCACGTACCTAGGCTCCTGAAAGCTATGCATGCTCAGCCCCAGTTTCCGGAAGTGAATCACATGCCACAGCATCCAGAGTCCTGTTTACCCTTGGCTGTATGCAGCCACTTCGAAAGCTTACCTCGGAGACTTGGAAAATCCTTTTCCGGACGAACCGATTCGCGGAAAAAGCTCGGGCGCCCAGCCAAGGAGCCTGGTCAATTTGCGTGAAGCTACTGTCAAGCTTATAACAAGGTCCCGGTTGCAGCTGCGGGGCTCTCGGGTTGCAGGCAGAAGCACCGTGCCCTCTTCGGCTGCCGCAGAGCCCCTGGGCAGAGCAACAGCTGCGACGGGCAGTGGGCAATCACGGGCAATGGGCCTCATGACCTGCAGCGACGTCTTGCACCTGGCGGGGGACATTTCAGCCTTTGGCTCCGGGATGATCGGAGTCGTGGGGGCAGAACATCTGACTTGTCACAGGGTCGGATGCCTCCGCGAAGGACACAGGCACCAACGATCAAAACTCATGACCAGACTCTGGCCTGGATGTAGGCCGTGCTGCCTCAGGGCTGTTTCGGATTCAAGCCTTCCTGGAACTGAGGTGTGCGAGGCAAGCCTTCTCCATCAACCTTGACTTCCAGCGCTTCGTCAACCCAACCACCAGCCGGTAGGCCCGACCTGATTTCTTCCATGGCAGGCAGGAGCTGTAGCTGCCACTGCTGGCTGAGTTTAGAACAGCTGATACAGGCGTAGCCTGCCGGTAGCATTGCTCACCTGCAGACACATGGGCAGGAACATGGCAAAGTACTGTGGCGGGGCCGGATCCTATCTCGCTGCAAACCAAGCACCGCAAACTCACCACATGCCACGGTCAGACGCCGTCAACTTGCGTACACCCATGCATTCTTGCAATTGCCTGGTGGACAGTGGGCGCTGCCACTGCTGCCTGATGCTTTGCTTTCACTGTTGCACGACGAGCGACAACGATTGGCGCTGACAGGCACTGCTAAGTAACAGGCATATTTGAAGATGTCATCTGGGATTTCGGCCTGCAGGACTCCGAAAGTTTGCTTTTTGCAATGCGAAGCTCGGGTCCAGCGTAGCCCATCCCCGTACACTTTTCGCATCAACGAGTTCCGACTGACAGTGGCCTTAACAGGAACGCCCCTTGTGCTGATCGAAACCATCGCATCCTGCAGCTTGCAACTTCGAAGGTGGCACTACAGTCTGCAACAGCCATACCGACCGTGTCTCTTTCACAGGTCCTGTGCGTGGATGTCAGCCTGCTCAGGAGTTTACATGTCCTCTTCCAGCATCACTACAACTGCATACAACTCAACGCGCATCAGCCTTGCCATGCTCGGCCCGGCTGTGGTGAAGTCCAATGTAGCCACCCTTGACATGGGCCTTGCGCACATGCCCAATCCACCAGGCCCCTTTCCAGTTCCATCTGTCCCTCTGAAGAGCTGCAGTACCAAACCTCACCATGCCTGAAGCGATGCTGCTCTGATGTCGGACAGAGTGGTGCGTGCCTTACTTGTGACTTGACACCGTCAACAGAGTCAACAGACGGGAACGGGAGTGCGGTGATGTCACAGCAAGTCGGCATCGCACCGTCGCTGAGACATCAAGATGAAAGCCTCCACCTCACGGTAAATGCGAAACGTACACACCTGGATAAGAATGGGCCTCCGTAAGCTCCCAGCGAACATGCATATCAGAGATGCTTACGCTCGTCATCTGCTTCGAAGTTTGGGAGTCCTCGCCCTGCACAATACTGAAGAAATGGCAGCGGCGGCAGCGGATCCGTCAGTGACAATGGCTTGCGGTGACCAGTGCTGCAACCGCGAGGCCTCGCTGAAGCCATCCTTCCTCATGAAGGTGTGCTTTACGTGTCGAAAATCCGCCACAGGCTTGCGCAAAGTGCCGGAGGCACTGAACAGTCATGTTGACGAAGTTGAAATTGAATTGGGCAGATCCTGGCCGCAGCCAGCTGCTCGCGATATTTGACAACACGAAGCTACGAGTACTATGGCGAGCCTGCTCTGAATTCAGGCAAATGAAGAACAAACCTTAGTTCTGCACCAGGTACCACACAACAGTACGCATGTGGAAGTTCTTTCACGTTCCGGCTGGGATCATTGCACACAGCCGAGCATGACGAACTTGCCTTACGTCCGCGGAGAATGTCGGCCCGGCTCAATGACTGCGGGGTCTTCTGGGGAGGGGGCGGTTGTACATGGCGTGCACACGCAGCGTGTGGTTCACGATTTCCATAGATCCGGAACCCAAGAGATGCCAATAGCTGAGATGGGCCTGCGGAAGTTGGGGTGACAGCCCAGGTTTGAACGTCGCAGGTTCCGGCGCCCCTCCCGCCCTCCCCTCCCGTATCGGAGCCTCTGCGCTGGACCCAGGCACCGTAAGGACGTCGCACCCGGAGAGCGAGACCTGCAAGTCCTCGCAACTCGAACACTTCGAGCTGAAAATGCCAGAACTCATCCAAGGCCCTTGCTAAAAGCGTGGCCGCATCCGGTAATCGCAGCACCGTGTGGCTGTAAAACAGGGAGCCCCAAAGCAGTGGCGTCAGCCTAAGCTGCACTTGATGCGAGCGGCAAGCATCTACACCTTCCACAAAGCAACGAAAAGCAAGACGTCAACGCCTTGCCGCAAGACTTGCCGATCCCTTTTGGCCTTTCGTTTTGTGCTTCATGCTCAACACCACTCCATCCCGCCAAGCCGTTCAGCTGGCAGGAAGCACAGGGGTCGAAGTCGAAAGAAGGCACTTTAGCGGTATTTCACAAGGACTTGGTGGCAGGAGGGGGATATCGGGCTGCTTCAAGTCCCACTAATCCGAGGATTCGCTGAAAAGGGGATCACCTGGTGCCGACGCTGTACAACGAGCACAAGGAGCACGCAGGCTTGGACTCTCGCGAGGACCTGGTTCTTGATACAGGAAGGTTCCCTCGGAACTGTCTTGGAGTTTTTTCCCCGGTCCGCACTGTGAGCCAAGTCAGGGCCAGGGCATTCGTTCGAATACCCAGCTCTGCTTTGGAAAACGCACCTCGAGCCCCGAGAACTCAAGAGCGAAAAGAAACACACTTCGGCCTTGCCGAGACCTGGGCGAAGGCTTGGTGAAAGATGTGCTGGGGCTCTGGATCCCGTCAAGACCACGACGCAAAGGGCACAGCTTAGGATGGCTCTGTGCCTTTTCTTGCTTCGAGGCAGGGCATGCACAGCCCATCCGACGTGAAGAGCTTGGGAGCGTATTGGCATGAAAGGATCCGAGCTGTCCGCGAAAAGCGATGCTGGCTTGGGAAATCTGGAAGGTTGCGGCAAGCAAGGCCGGGAACAGGCGGGTCACATGGTCACATGACGGAGCACCCGTCGGCCATGTGAGGAGGGGCGGGCAAGCCCCACTCCTTGTCGTAGGCAGTGTTCCGGCCGACAGGCTTGCCGTACTCCTGGCAAAACACTGACGGCGACATGCGGCAAGAATGGTCTCTGAAGCAGTGCCACGCAGTGCCCAGTGCCCCTGCCTTCTCATAGAAGGCCCACCAGCTCATCAAGCCCTGTAGCCGCCTGTGCATTGCAGAAAACCAGCCGAAGAGGCCAACACCGAAACTCGGGGCCTGTCTGCGGCTTCAGCCGGCTGAATCTTGAAGACGTCCTTGGAAAGCCGGGTATCAGCCATGAGTGATGTCTGAAACCGCCAGTTCTGTGCTTAGTAAAACAATCGATGACGACTTGTGTGCACTGATGAGTTCTACCGCTTTCACGCCCTGAAGACTGTTCGTCCAGATTCTAGGCGACATATATGACTCGACAGCACCCCGAATTGCCGGTGCCAAAGAGATTTAGAACATGCTGTGACCAGCTAGTACCGAATGCCGATTCGGTTCTCAGTTAAAGGCCCTCCCTTGCGGCTTTACAGTGCTCCAGTAGAGGGAGGGAGGACTGCTCAATGCACGTGTTTTGGGTGTTGCCCTGCTTTTCAACCACCAAGCGGCATAGAATTTGTCCATCGTCTCCTCCGTGTCCTGAGCTGCTGCGTACTACACGGACACCTGAGAAAATGATCAAAGACGGCTCGAGCCTCTCCACTCATCAGTGCCCACGTGATGTCTTTCCCAGTCATATACCTCTGGTAGTCGAGCGACCAGGATCACTGCACACGAAACGGGCAAGCAAACTTCAACGATCGCCTCAACTAACAAAGCTGAGTCGCCAGTATGGGCCATCAGGTCCATACTTGTCGGGTCGATCCTCACGCAGGATGAAGAGGAAGATGATGTGTGGACTGTGGGGGCGCACACGCGAGGCTTCGTGAGGGCAGCACTGAAACGTCGAAGAGGTCACCGTACACGGATATCAGCATTCTTTGGCCTGCATCTGAGGACACGCCTGCACGAGCAGACGACAACCTGGTTCATGTGTGGCCTTTGCAGGAGTGTTTCTCAACCAACTCCTTCTGAGAGATCCGTCCGACTTGCTTCCGGAAGTCTGCTGGCAGCTTGACTCCTGTGACCGTCTGATCGTAATGGTGCTGCTGTGCTCCGACAAGACTCTAAGTACTGCAGGCCACTCCTTTTGGCCGTGGAAGCGGTCGATGTCCACCCTCTGCCGTCAAGTTTCCGCCTGTAATCGACCTCAGGGAAGTGCTCGACGCTCGACTCGCCGGCGCTCGACGGTGCACATCTCCAGAAGATCCAAGAAGCTGCCCGGTTGTGGGATCACTCCTCGGTGGCTCCAGTCCAAGGAACGCTGCGGCAATGTGCCATCTGCGATGGCCCGGAAGGCTAAGAAAGAAGACACGAAGGGCGTAGGCACGTTTTTAGTGTTCACATCCCAAGCCAGTGCTGCCTGGGGGCTTCTCGTACTGCTTGTAGTCGGGCTGGGCCTTGTTCTTTAACCGTGCCTCAAATGCCACAAAGATGGCAGCTGAAGGGCAGCCCAATTCCACCATTCTTCGAGCTTACTCAAGCTTGCCTTGCTTTCTTGCCCAGGGGCATACTGTTCTTGGTAGAAGCTTCTGAACATCTGTTTCTTGAGCTCCCGCTCCTCGTCGCATCTCTGAGGTCTTTTCGACGCTCACACTCGCACAGGCAGGCAAGGCTCCACATCTCTGACGTCTTTAGATGTCTTTAGTTTAGGTGTTGGTAACACGCGTGGGTGACCTGGTCCGAGATCTGCGTGTGAAGCCACGGGTTCTCCATTTCCTCTCTCTGCTGTTCGGTCATGCCTCATCACTCGGATCCAGGAATTGTGCTTTCGAGTCTGCCAGCAATGCAGACGCTCGTCCGCCTTCCCGTACCTTTTTCTTCATCCTCCTCAGCTCCTCGGGTCGGTTGGTCGGTGAAGCCAGGACCAGGCACCCCAACTCTTCATGCCCAGCTGCACGTTCAAAGTCCGCGTTCTTCTTTGAGGATGGGCAGAAGTCATCGAGATCCTGAAGGCATGACCCAACTTGCTGCAGGAGCTACGAGAACTTGAGGTACCTGTCCTCGTCGGACGAGGACAGCTCCTTCTTCTTCAGCTTGTCGATTCTTCGACCGAACTCATCGTACTTCCCTGATGCCCCACCGACAGTTGGTGGTGGGCACCACAAACTGTACCATAAATGGCCCACCTTCCTTTTTAGACTTTGCTTTTGCCTTCACCTTCGCCTTTGCTTTGGGCTTCACGACTTTCCTTGGCACGAAAGCTCGCTCCCAATGCATGGCCACGGCCGCAAGCTTTTTCTCACTCTCGCTCTCGACATCTCGCTAATTGACCCAGGACTCCCTTCCTTGGATTCCTCTCGAGCGACAGCAAGTCCGGACAGGTGCACTTCATCGCCATCGCGAGAGAAAGTGAAGGTGATCCTCATGGCCGGTGGCAACAGCTCGCACGCACAAAGGTGCAGAGAGAGAGAGAGAGCGAGAGAGCGAGAGGGCGAGAAACAGAAAGAGGCAGAGAGAGAGAGAGAAGAGAGAGACTCTGAGAGAGAAGGAGGAAGGAATGAGAGTTTGCTTTCGCTCCTTGTCCTGTTGTTGCTATCGTTTTGTTGTTTGTTGATTTTTCGGGGTGTGGGGGGACACAGGCCCAGCTTTCAAATTTCAAGCTATTTGGGAATGCCAGCTTTGCGTCAAGCTATTTTCGAATTCCAATTTGCAGTCTTGTCTTGTGTCAGTCTGCTGGGGAATACAACTTGCAAGGGCCAATTCCAATTCATCATCTTTTATTAACACGCCCCCTCATCTGGCAATTTCGGTTCATCGCACATCTTTAACACGTCCCTTCATGTGGCGCTTCCGGTTCATTACATATCTTCAACCTCTGTTCAACCTCTGGCGATTCCGGTTCCCCCCGCCCCCTCATGACGATTCAGGTGCTTCTGTTTCTCCCTCATCTGGCGATCCAAATTCATTACATATCTTAAACCGCCCCCTCATTTGGCGATTCCGGTTGATCATATATCTCATATGCAAAACCTGCCCCAACTTTTCATTTCACGGGCCGCGACCTGTGGCCCGCGACCCGTGTGACCTGCAGCCCGCAGCACAGCCAGTAAGAAAGAGCCCCATCAACCCTTCCCCAGTGAGCTAAACCGGTTCATCACAAAACCTGAAGACGCCCCCTCATTATGCGATCTAGGTTCGTCACATATCTTAAACATCCCCCTCATTTGGCGATCCAGGCTCATCACATCTCTTAAACGTGCCCCTCATCAACAATCTTGAGCACGCCACCTCATTTGGTCATATAGCTCATTTGCTACAACCGTCCCCGACTTTTCACGGGTCGCAGCCCGTGGTCCGTAAAGAGACCGGAGCAGGACGGAGCAGGCATCGGGGACCAAGGGCTGGAGGACCAGACGACCAGACGACCGGAGCACCAGGGGACCAGACTAGAGGACCAGGGGGGGCCATGGAAAGAAAGGGAGCAAAAGGAAAAAGAAAAAAAAGAAACACCCTCCCAAAAGGAAGGTGCCCAGTGCAGCAAGGATCTTGCCGTTCTTGTCCGCCAGCACCTTGCCTGAGGCAGTGGCCTCCCATCGGATCATCGCAGGGAAGAGGTGGGAGTTCATAGACTTCAGGGTGATTAGGCCGTGTCGTGCCTCTGTGGAGCTGCTCGCCACGGTGCTGCTTTGAGGCTCGCCGTTCACTGTCAGGCCTACAAGGCGCTGGCAGCTGTGTTCTGGCTGAAGCCCAGGGCCTGAGGCGAGCACCGTTGGCACTGCCGTAGAGCTTGGCGACCTGGTACACCTGACCGGACACGCAATGCTCGCCTGCTCACAGCAAAGCTCACTCTCCACACCACAATAGGCAAGCGATTCTGCGAAAGACTTTCTGCTCGTCCTGAAGCTGTGATCGACACCCACCGATGCCCATGGTGCAAAGGTCGCAAAAGAGATGATGGATCGCAAAGTTGGTACGGCCGACAGCTACGGTGAGCGCCCGCTTCTACATGACTCAAGCTAGAAGACAGCGCCGGCAAGCAGTCGCCTTCCAAAGGTATGCAATGTCCGGATCGAGGCCAGAGACGACGGCTTTCGCAGTGCCCGGCTTGTTGCGAATGAAACCGCACGCATACCTTCGGCGATTGTATACACTTTGCGAGCGAGGCAGAAGGCAGCAGGCACTGGAAGAAGGACGCCTTGCTTCCGAGAGGCGGCCTTGTATGTGTCCAGCCGGACAACGTGCATTTGTAATCATTCCCTCCAAGCAAGCAGAGGGGCGAAACGCCCACGCGTGTGCGAGTCCGGGACTGCAGACTCCTTGCCTATGGTATAGCTGAACTTCTTGGACTCATCAAGCGAACTAACGCCCCTGTCGCTGAAGTCCTGTTCGTCCAGCCTCGCGGTCTGACGGGAGCATCACAACATGTTCGCAAAGCGACATCAACCCGCTTCTGCACTTGCTGCACACAGAGGCACGTGGTCAATGGCTCGGGGGGCCGTCTGACCTGCAGCGGGCATCGTGATTGCTCAGTGTAGCCCCGTCGTGGAAAATCTGTTCCACCTTTTTCTCTTCTTTGTCTTCCTTCTGTTCCTTCTCTTCCTTCCCTTCTGCGCCAGGCTTCGGCGGTGCTTCGGTTTCAGCCTCCAGCTAGCACTTTCCAGGCTCCAGGCTCATCCGTGTCACTCCGGCCTTCTCGGCGTCTGCCACAGGCTCTTCTGCTGTCGATGGTACGACAGGCGCCTCTTGCCGGGGCATCGCCTGCAAGTGTCAAATATTCGAGGTATCCAAGCCAGCTAATCAGCTAGTGAAACCACCACCAGCGGCTGCCAATCAGACGCCTCCTTCGGGTCTTCGGCTTGCTGAGGGTGACTATCCGGCAGCTCCTGTTTCGGAAATTCTTGTCATATTCTAGCTGCTAGGTGGCACGGAAGAGAGCGCAAGCCAAGAAGGAAGCACAAGCACACAAATACAAAGCACCGTGGAAATGCACACCTTACATGAGACGAGGTTTGGACTTGAGATAATCTTCTCAGCCAAGGACACGCTGCCACTGCTTCAAGCACTTTCCAATCTTGTTATCACAGGTGTGGCATCCCGTTAGGAGGGTTGCAACCCCGCGAACCCCAACCTACAAGCTCAAGCGCGAAATTACTGACGGGTTTCATGCAGCTGCATCCTGAGTGCCGGTGGCTGTCGCTGTCGTGGAGTGATCTGACTCCTCCGAGCAGGTGCTCTTGTCAGGAAGGAGTCAAACATACAGGTAACAGAACAGGCCTTGTCCTCGGCAGTCGGTTTGTCGTCGTCTTGAAACTCCTGAATAGCAACGATAAGGTGATGATAAATCTGGGCAAAATCGTTGACATGCTTTGCTTCGCTTTGCACTGCTCCACCTTGAAGATGCCATATTAGTACTGGGCGGGCACGGTTTACCAAATGATGGAATGTTGCGTTTTTTGCGCCGTCTCGCAATTGAAAGTTCGTACATGTCCTACTTTCGCCAGGATGCCGACTATGTTGCACCCGACTCTGGTTCAAACACATTTCCATGAATGCATAAGTAAAGACTTTTGGCAACCGCTGCAAATACTACAAGTAGTGCTTCACGTATCACCACCCCAGGCGGAGGAAACCAAGAACAACCCGTCTTCCCAGAGCTTCTTTTCAGAATATCGAATCGATTTCTTGCTCCGCTCATATCAAAGAAACATAGTGCCATGCAGCCCAGGTGCTGCCACCTCCTCTGCTTGTGGTAGCTTCAACTTGCCGTCTCCTTTCGGAAAGCTCAGCCTCCCCTCCACCACGGTACGACAGATACACCAACAGTAGCCTTACATGCCATGCTGACAAAACACCCACGGCCCGTGTGATGGAATCGGCATCGCCATCTTCCAAGGCAGCTTCTCCCCAATTGGAGCAGCGGCAGAACGGCGTTAACAGGAAAGCCATGGCATCAGAGAAGAGCAGCAAGAATTCTGGTGTCCCGTGGTAGATCTGCGAGTTGCTGGGGAATGTGAGATTTTGATCTGAATTCGATGCTGCTTTGCAGCCGACTGTGTGCACTGTCCTTGCCAGGTGTCCATTATCCAAGCAGCTGCGGGGAAGGCGCAACAAAAATTGTCACGTCAAATGGGCCAGGCTGAGAGACTCCACTTGATGCAACCGGGGCACAGTGTGACAAGAAAGCCGCCTGCCAAATAGAGGAGCCACTGGGGGTTCACCTCAGGAGCCGTAGTCGGACGAGCTGGCCCGAGATGGCCCGCCGAGGCCCCGGCACGTCTGTGAAGTTCGATAGGGAGACTCTCAAACTTGTAGACCTGTCGCGCTGCTTCCGAGGAATGATACGGGTTGTGACATCTTGTGGCCCCGAGACCTGTGCATCTGGCCTGCCCAGGAAACCAAGTCAAACTTAGGCTCCCCCGGAGATATCGTCCAGAAGCTAAGGAGCCAGCATGCTGCAACTGGGTGCCGCTGATTTCGGCTTGATGTGGCGGTGGTTGGCTGGTGGCAACTAAAGAAGGAGACCCATCTTGAAACTACGCCCATGTTTCGGCCGAACAGCTGCGTTAGGAGAATGCATCATCGAGCACGCGGGAGAGCGAGTGAGCGGCAGAGAGAGGGAGAGAGAGAGAGAGAGAGCTGAAAAAACCCTCGAGTTTGTATAACTGGTATGCCCGTTCCGACAGCACCGCTAGGTTGAGTCTGGTGATCTGATGTGGAGTGGCAGCTTTCTCACTGTGAAGAGCGAAGCTCCAAGGATCCCGGGTCTCGGGGTCTCGGCTCAGTTCACCTCCTGCATTCAGCACGCAGCAAGCTCACAGCCCACAAACCTTCGCCGGGCGTCCTTGACCTTGCGACGACTCGCTTTGGGGGCCGCCTCGCATTCAAAGTGAGAACAGCGCAGTGCTTTCCACAGCTGCCCCTTTTCTGCCAGGCCGACCTTCAGCAGGTCCGACAGAGGCTGCTCATCCTGCGGCAGCCCCCACGCCGAAAGAAGGTCTGAAACGGTCAGAATCGAGGATGCCAAGCATCAAGCGTATACCAGTCGCTGCGGCGGTCCGGTCCTCCAACACGGACGCGGCGGCTTTGGCCTTAGCCTTGGCCTTAGCTTTGCCCTTGGCTTTGGCATCAGCCTTGGCCTTGGCCTTAGCTTTGGCCTTGGCCGCCTCCTTCGCCTTGGCTTTGGCCTTTCCTTTGGCTTCCGGCTTGCTTTGCATCGGCCCTTCTGCCTCAGCGACCTTGGCCTTCTCCTCGTCGGCCTTGGCCTCTCAGTGACACCAAGCCACTCGGCGGCCCTAGGCTAAAGGACCTCAGCCACGCAAAGCCTCTAGCCTCTACCAGACACAGCACGCCAGTGCCAGCTCAGCCTAACGTTCTGACAGGGGCCTGCAGTCGGCTGCTTCGGCGCCTCGGCAGACATGCGCTCACTCGACAAGCGCCGTGGCGCGGCTGCGGCTCTGGTAGCGACCCGTTATAAGCTGCGGGCACGGGCGGCGCAACAGGCGGCGCAGGCGGCAGAGGCGCTGGCGCTGGCTCCGCGGGTCGCTTCTTTGCTCTGGGCACCGCTTTCCGCGGTGGCGTCTCCACTGCCACTGCTGGGGCTTTGGGCTGTGGCTCTGGGGGCGCTTTCATGGAGTCTGGCAGATAGTCTGGCCATGTATCGGGCTCCGAGAAGGCAGAGACGAAGCGGGCTGCCACCTCCTGATGCGACAGTTTCGGGGACTCGGGGGCGTCCGCATGTGCATGCATTGACGCAGGGGCTGTGGAGGGCGTTTCGTGCGCCCGGACCCGGACTGGCCGATCGGCTGGCACGGCTGGTCTGTCCTGGATTGATGTGGGGTTTGTGGACGGTGTTTCAGGCGTTGTTTCAGGCGTCGCCACCGGAGTCGGCGGAGCTGAAGGAACTGCCTGGGGCATGGCAGTGGCCGCAATGGCCGGGACATCCAAAGATTGCATGGGTTTTTGTGTCATAGACGGGGGAGGTGGGGTCATGGGGACGAGCTCTGCTTCTTTGGCTGAGCAGACGTCCCTGGGTGGTGGCTGCGGTGGGGCTTTGGGTTTTGAGACGCTCAGAGCCAGGGTTAGCTCTGCGGAAGGCGTCTCTGGCGTTGTCCTGAGTGTCGGGGGAGGGGCCTCCTGATCATGGTGAGGCGGTGAGCCAGCATCCGACGTATCGGAGTCCACACAGTCCGGGGAAATTGGGCTAGCAACAACTCCATAGGTCACAGGCTTTGCTGTGCTTCGTGCGCTCGCCTGCATGTCTGGGCGCGCTGATCGCGACGCCTCCGCCGGCCTGACAGCAAAGGTGGCAACCAGTGGATGCAGCCTTGCCGCGGCCTTGCCGCATCTTGCCGCCTTCGCGGGACCTCCGCGACTCTGGCTTCCTCTGGCGCCTGAGGTGCTGCCAGCATCTGCCAGGCGAGGGCAAGCTGAAGTGCAGCCAAGCAGCAGCAGGCCCAGCAGGGTCTGCTCCGATGCTCTTCAGGGCCCACTTGGCAAAGGAGTCCTTCGGGTTCAGGGCCTCAGCTGCCGCGCGCCCCCAGGCTCTGCAGTGCACCTCCAAGTACTCTAAAGACCTCGGTGGCCGGCCAAAGCCTTCCTGAAATCCGCCGCTGCCTGAAGCAAGGCAGCCAAGGCAGCACGTCAGAGGAGGGCCGTTTCGGGACGCTGGCCGCTGGCCGCCTCGTCCTTCCGGCCGAGCTCGAGAGCCGCCGCGCCGCGGCCGCAGAGCATGGCCGGGTTGCGCGGCTCTTTCGCCTCAGCTCCAAAAAATCCAGACAAGTTCTGCCGCTCCCCCACTTTTGCGGGAGCCATACCCGGTGACTGTTGTCCGCGAACGGCTGAAGCCAAGCCCCGACGCTGTTGGCCGGTGACGTCCTAGTCCTATAGTCCTAGTCCCCTAATCTGTCAGCTCGATTCCTTCTTCAAGCACTTCGGCAATGGCCTTGGTAATGCACCCGAGCTCCTGCTCTGAAATGATGAAGGGTGGCATTGTGTAGATGGTTTGGCCGAAAGGTCGGAGCCACACCCCGTGCCGAACCAGAGCTTGCTGCAGCTTGGCGGGTTCCTTGGGTGGGCTGCGCAGCTCCACCACTCCGATGGCACCTAGAACTCGCACATCGGACACTTCCCGATGCTCCTTCAAAGGAAGAAGCTCTTTCTCCAGTTGCTTCTCGATGGCGGCCACCCTGTCTTGCCAGGGCCCTTGCAAAAGGAGCCGGATGCTGGCAGCAGCAACAGAGCAGGCCAGGGGGTTGGCCATGAAGGTTGGGCCATGCATCAAGGGCTGCGTCCCATCTTTACCACTTACTCGGCGAGCCACGTCGTCTGAGGCAATGGTGGCACCAAGCGTGCAGTAACCACCGGTCAAAGCCTTGCCTACACACATGATGTCTGGCGTCACTTGAGCATGCTCTGCAGCAAAAAGCTTGCCAGTTCTGCCGAAGCCTGTCGCAATCTCGTCAAAAATCAACAAGATCTGCAGATCGCTACACAGTTTCCGCAGCTTCACCAAATACGACGGGCTGTACATCCGCATGCCGCCCGCACCTTGAACAACTGGCTCAATGATGACAGCCGCAACATCTTCTGCATTCTGTCGAAGCATCTCCTCCATGCTGGCAAACCCATCATTGTCCGAGGCAGCAGCTCCCTCTGTTGCATCTTTGGGTCGCGCGAGGGCCGGTGCTTCAGCGAAAAGGTGCTGAGGCAAGGAATTCTTGAAGAGGCTATGCATCCCACGCACGGGGTCGCACACAGCCATGGCCCCGAAGGTGTCACCGTGGTATCCACGCTGCACGGTCGCGATGCGGCATTTTCGCGGGAGCCCTTGGGTCGCCCAGTACTGCAACGCCATCTTCAATGCCACTTCCACGCTCACGCTGCCACTGTCGCAGAGAAATATCCGGCTAAGGCCCTGAGGCATGCAGCTCAGGAGGACTCTGGCGAGGTCTGTGGCTGGCCGGTGCGTCAAGCCACCGAACATCACATGGCTGGTCTGGCTCAGCTGGTGAGCGGCAGCGGCGTTCAACTCTGGCACGTTGTAACCGTGAATCGCACACCACCAAGAGGCCATACCATCCACAAGTCTCCGACCATCCTCCAGCTGAATATGGCAACCAGTTGCACTTCGGACGGGCCAAACAAGACCCGGCTTGACCATGCTCGTGTATGGATGCCACAAGTGCTCACGATCCAGCCTCAAGTGCTCCTCAAGACTGGATGCCTCGGACTCTGCCTCTGCATCCAAAAGTGCCGACATTCCCTTCGCCACCTGATCCTGTGACAACCACGCCGTCAATGGCTCCTGCTGTGGTGGTGTGGAAGGGACCGAGATCACCGGCACGTCGGGAAGTGCCTTCTGCACCGCACTGGCATTGCTGTGCCTTCCCTCACTGCCAATGAACAGGATTGCCTTTGGCCTCTGCTTGCGAGCGACCAAAGCTTCGTAAGCACAGACAGTCGCGGATATCCCGCCCAGCTTCGAGTCACCCACCAACACGCAGGGCAGGCGTAAGGGCGCATAGATGTCGGCTTGAAAGGTGTGGTTCGGGCCCGGGCTCAATGGCCCACCCGCGGTCTCCAAGACGGCTAAGACTCCCGGGTGCTCCTCTTTCTCCTTCCGCAAACAAGCAAGCACCGCGTCACGGAACTCCGCATCCTGTGGAGGCCGAGCTCCGGCCTTCTCGGCTGCACTCGCGGGAGACTCGGGGGATGGATAGTGGAACAAAGTCTCCAGGCGAAGCGCATCTGTCATGCCACCACCCCGAGAGCAATGTTCGCGAATCGCTGCCGCATCGGTCTCGTCCCCTGTCTGCACGGGCTTTATGTATGCAACTCGTTGCCCCCTAACCAACGCCTGATGGCAGATAGCAGCACACGCCACCGTCTTTCCCACATCTGTGTTGGCACCATACACCAAAATATCTTGATCAGCAGAGGCGAAGTATCTGCAGGCCTCTCTGTGGCGCCTGCTTGCGACCGTTTTCAGTTGGCCAAGCACGGCAGAAGCACCCTTTGTCAGAAGCCGATGACGCATCATGTTTTTCACAGCCTGACAGCACGAAGTTTCGTACCGTAGCCTTTCATTAACCTAGACAGGATATACATACAGGCTTCAATGCGACAAGAAGCACCCCCACGAGGCAAACACGGAAGTGAGTGAGGGCAACGAGCTGTGCCTCGAACTGAACCAGCTGATTGGCTATGTAACAGGAGTTCGTGCCGTCACAGTCTTCTGTTATAAAGCTCGAGCCAAAGTGCCGGTGGCCAAGCGGGCAGAGCTGATCCCATGCAAGCCTTTGGGCAGTCCTGAGTCATGAGTGCCTGTGGGCTTTTACTTTTCGCGAAAGCATCGAAGATGTTAAGATGGAGTAACATAGAAATGTCTCGCCTTGTGCGGACTCTGAGCAAGTATAATGAGTATGGTGATCCATTCAACAACATCACAGCATCCCAAACAATACGTCACAATGCAGTATCTTCTCTCGTAGTTTCTTGCTTCTCCACCGCGGATTGGCGGCTCTCAACTATATAAGTTGTGGTGGGACAGCTGCACTGATACGACTGCTACGAGAAAGTAAGACTGGGCCAGCAGCGGGAGCCTAACCACTGAAAGAGGCAGGACTCCGGCGTCCCAGGCGCTCAGATCTACTCGGAATCTCAGAAGGTAACCTCACGAGGTTTGGCGCTCTGCCACATTGGATCCGAGACATGGGGTAGCTCATGGCCAGGAGACCCAGGCGTTTGGGGGGTCTCCGCCTCCGCTTCGGCCCAGGAAGGTCGCAGCGATGCCGTTGGGCCGGTGAAGGGCTTCTTGCCCGTCAAACCCAGCAGCTCGAACATCTTGGAGTCCTCCGAGAACTTGGGATTCGGCGTTGTCAGCAACTTGTCGCCTGTGAAGATGGAGTTGGCACCTGCCATGAACATCATCGCCTGGGCCTCCTGGGAGAACTCCATTCGTCCAGCCGACAAACGTACCATGGACCGCGGCATTACGATCCTCGCCGTGGCAATGGACCGCATCATGTCACGCCAGGTCACCCCTGTCCCCATGCGAATTTGACGGTCGCCAAGGGGTGTCCCCTCCACAGGAACCAGCGCATTGATGGGAACCGATTCCGGGTGTTCGGGCAAGGTCGCCAGTGTGTGAAGCAGCCCGACACGGTCCTCCTCCGTCTCCGCAATCCCAAGAATGCCACCGCAGCAGACGCTGATCCCGGCCTCGCGAACATTGGCCAGCGTCTCCAGGCGGTCTGCATACGTCCTGGTGGAGACGATGTTGGGATAATGCTCGGGACTGGTGTCCAGGTTGTGGTTGTACGCCGTTAGTCCAGCCTCTTTCAATTGCTTGGCCTGCTCAGCATTCAACAAACCCAAAGTGCAGCAAGTTTCCATTCCCATGCCGGAAACCTCCTTGACCATTGTTAAGATGTGCTTGAAAGCATTCTTCTGGCCGACTCCACGCCAGGCCGTGCCCATGCAAAATCGCGTGGAGCCTGCCTCCTTTGCCCTGCGGGCAGCTTCGAGGACCTCATCGACCTGCATCATGGGAGTAGGCTTCACCGCAGTCTTGAAGCTCTGGCTCTGCGAGCAATATCCACAGTTTTCACCACAGCCCCCGGTCTTAATTGAAAGCAAGGTTGACTGCTGCACCTCGCGGGGGTTGAAGTAGCTTCTGTGGACACTGGCTGCGCGAAAAATCAATTCCAACAAAGGCTCGTGGTAAATCTCACGGATCTCTTCCCGAGTCCAATCATGTCGGACTCCGGCGACTCCTGTTTGGGCACTGAAGTGCCGCCATTGCGCCTGCCTGCCTGCTTGAAAGCTGCGCTTGACGAAGGCCAAGGCCATTGTGGCAGTGCTGGCTACAAAACTACTGCTTGCTGCGGTCTGGAGCCTAGGAAAGGAACATGTTACATGTTGGTACACTTCCACTGCTCCCGGCAACGGAGGCTGAAAATCACTGCATCTCTGAGGCCAGTACCAATGCACGGTTGTAGTCGGTTATGGCCTCGCGACGAGAGAAGGCAGGACAGAAAGAAACACGCACACGCACACATACGCACACAGACACACAGACAGACAGACAGACAGACAGACCGACAGACCGACAGACCGACAGACCGACAGACCGACAGACCGACAGACCGACCGACAGACCGACAGACCGACAGACCGACAGACCGACAGACCGACAGACCGACAGACCGACAGACCGACAGACCGACAGACCGACAGACCGACAGACCGACAGACCGACAGACCGACAGACCGACAGACCGACAGACTTACAGACCGACAGACCGACCGACCGACCGACCGACAGACAGACAGACAGACAGACAGAGACAGAGAGAGACAGAGAGACAGAGAGACAGACAAACAGACAGACAGACAGACAGACAGAAACACACACACACACACACCCACACACGCACACACGCACACACGCACACACGCACACACGTACACACGCACACACGCACACACGCACACACGCACACACGCACACACGCACACACGCACACACGCACACACGCACACACGCACACACGCACACACGCACACACGCACACACGCACACACGCACACACGCACATGCACACACACGCGCACACACTGATGGATTCGGCCAAGAGTACGAGTGCAAGAGGAAAAAGAGAGGCATGTTGTTCATGTTGCAAAAGTTTGTCAGATTGTGGCAACCGTACAACTTGTTTGTATAATCTGGA